ATATCAAAGGATAAGGATTTAGAAAACAATGTCAGAATTGGCATTTAGGAGGTCAACGATCACCTCTGGTAGATTATTTTCAGCTAAGTGTTAAGCAGAAATCAAATTGCCAATAAGACCCAGAAGAGTAGCAGTAATAAAGAAGGGAAACAGTTTTAGATTTTTTTTTTTAAATAAAAGTTTAAGAAAAGACAGTAACTTCAGGGCAAAACAATCTCAAACCTGTATCAGAATCACTTTTACAGTTCTTGTTTTAAATCACAGATTTCTGGACCTCACTCCCAGAATTTCTGATTCAGTAGGTCTTGGGGTAGGGCCAAAGAGTTTTTGTGTCTATCAAGTACTCAGATATGTTACTGTGGGTAGTTCAGGGACCACAGTGTGAGAATGACTTGTGACGATTGAGGAGAGCTTTTATTTATTTGTTTTGATTCATACCCTTGAACATTTTCTATAATGTTCAAGGATATGAACATAATGTGTCTAAAAGGGAAAGTGCAAGGAGAGTTTGGGAGAAAGGAGATGCAAAAGAGAGGAGTGAGAATAAAACTAATAAGAGTCATGAACTGAAGGAGATAAAGGAATCAATTATGTAAATAAAGGCAGTGGAGGAAACTTCTTATTTTCTGAGGGATGAGGAAAGTAGGAGAGCAAAAGAGAGAAGACAAAAAGGACTTCTTATGAGGAAAGAAGGGAGGTTGGGAGAACTTCTATGGAATCACTTTGTGGTAAAATCATTGAGAAGTGGGAGGCAACAGCTGATGAGAGTTAAGGGGAGGGTAGCTTGGAAAAAGTAGAAAAGAGTCCGGATGTCAGCTACTGGGAATTCAAAAGGAAGTCAACAAAATGAATAAAAGGCTACCTACTAGCAGTGGGAATCCAGCTGAAGTAGAATAGCTTGAATTTGAATAGCCTAAGATTTGAAAGGGAACAATAAGTTGAGACACAGAACTTAAAGAGGACCTATCTCCTCCCCCTGGGACAGTGCAGTATGGGGGTATCTTATGTTAAAAGTAGGTAAGTACTTAGACTTTCTGAGAACTTTGAGAATTATTATTATTTTATTTCAGCTAGAAAATGTTCATTTTTTTTCTTTAAGCATCTGATTTTGTTTTACTTCTCAGGTTTTGACCAATTCTCCTCTTGTTCAAGTGATTTCCCACCTTTGCGACCCATGTAACTCATCTTGAATTTAACATTGCAAGTGAAAGAGAGAAAGATACACTGTAGGGCTGGGGTTGTGGCTCAGTGATAGAGTGTTTGCCTAGCATGCATGAGGCCCTGGGTTTGATCCTCAGCAACACAAAAACATAAAATAAATAAAACACATTTCAGATGATCATTTCAAAGCCAGTTTCCTAGGAAAACATATAGGATACATGAATAGGATACATGTAGGTTTTAGCCAATTAAGTCCTCAGTTATATGAATGTTTTTGTTTCACATTTATTGCCTTGCCTAATCAATTTCCTTTGATTGTTTGCCTAAAAATGAACCTTAGAGGGCTCTTGGGAAGTTCCTATTAGAGGCCATAGTAGAGGTCATAACTTCAGATGGTTGAGTGTTTCAAATAATTCCATTTATTACCTTGGGATTTGCTTGAATGCCTGTTCTGAAAACCATCCCGTGCAAACATTTTGGATATTTTGCAGTCCTGCATAAGTTTGTGTATATATATATTTAATGAAAATGGTATATTCATTTCACTGACAGTGTGAAATGAAGTAGAATGTTTGGCCTAAATTCACAGATGAGCATGCTTCTCTCCAAACTGAGCATAAATTAGGAAAAAATGTAAATTTCTAATTAAGGCTAAGAATTTTATAGCATTTCAGTGTATGAGAAGCTACACTTAGGTCTCAAATCATTCCATTGGAATTAGGCATCTAGAGGCATCTAGAACTTCTTGTTCTGATGAGATATGGTATCTGCTTGTACCAATTTTATTCATAATTTCTGTGGTGTTTGGCTCCTCTCTGGTATTAATTCACAAACCTTGAATATTTTCTTAGTTTTAATGCAGGGTCTCTCATTTCCCAAGGGTACCCTGTTTACTGCAGCCTTTATGATTTTATATTGCTTCATATAATTCCAAACTTACAGGGTGTTGACATGCAAGGCTTCCTCTGGCCTTGTAGAAATCTAGCCTTATTTAGAAATATATTTGGCTTAGGGAAGACATTAAAGTCAGAAAGGGATAGAAACAAACACTCTGTGTGCAATTTGTCTCAGTCTCAAAGCATATATAATAATAATAGAAATAGCAGCAATAAAACTGAGTAATCAAAAGATCAAGAAAACCTAAGGACACAACACCTGGAGTCTTGGATCTAGATGACTAAATCTTTAAATTACAAGTATCACTTAAGAAAATTACTAAGTCTACTTTCTAGGGGACTGCAATGGAAAGGAATTCAAATAATGAAACCATGGGTCTTTTGTGTATTGAAAGCTTCTAAGAGACTTTAACACTTCAGTGATCACTGGCCAATTTGAATCCCTAGTATTTCTACTAGAATTTGAACCTTAATCTCTGGTAGTAATTAAAATTTAATTCTTACCTTTTCTAAAGTTATCAAAGTTATCCAAAGTTATCAAAGTATGTTTGTTTTTCAGTATCACAATGATTAGAGTCTAAGCGAATGTTCAACTTTTCACTTTTTATATTGCAGAATTTCTTAAATATAAAACATCTATGTAGTGTCACATTTCTGAAAACTCCAAATCATTCTCTGAATGAAAAAGCCTTTATAATGTAGGATTTTTAATGGAATTAGAGCTATTTCAAATAAAACTTTCCTTAACATCAAATCTGTTCACTGGAAATTTTAATCATAGTAAGTTAACATAGACAAGTTATCTCGACACATTTTTAATAGCTATTTCTGTCAAAACACCTGTTGAACATTTTTTTTAATTTAAAAATACTTGTAAATACAAACATTTCTGTCATTGCAGTTCTATTTTTGTGAGAAGCAATACTTTTCTGCTTCTGCTCTCTTCAGAATTGTTCGTTTTGCCTTTATTTTCTTCCCACAATTGTACCAGTAAAGCCAAAACAATTTGATATCTTTCAAAAATGTTTTGTGGATGCAGAAGTTCCAATCTATTAGAGATTCTTATTGCTGTATTCCAAAAGCAACTGCCATCACAACTTCTTAGCATTTTGTCCTCATGCAATTTAAAATTAAAACAGTATGAAGAGATTCAAAGGGCAGTTCTTTTTTTAAAGGTTTAATTTTTTAAACCTTTATTTACTTATTTATTTTTATGTGGTGCTGAGTATCGAACCCAGTGCCTCACACATGCTAGGCAAGCAGCTCTACTACTGTTCCACAACCCCAGGCCCCAAAGGGCAGTTCTTATGTTTGGTTGATGAAATGACAAAAGAAGAAAAATATGTTGTAGAAAGAGGCAGAGAAATCTAATTTAGGACATTTACGACTTATTAAGGGAGTAAAAAGAACTCACTTACTCCTCATCTTTGACATTGCTAAGTTCAACTCCGAAGGAATATCAGAGTTGTTGTATGAACTATGTAGTTGGTAACATTTTGTAAAAAAAAATTAAGCCTGGATTTCACTGTCTTGAATAACTACTAACCACTAGAGGAGAAAAGCACAGGAAATACCTTTCTATCAAAGTATCAAAACCTTGACAAGGAGTCTTAAAACAACTTTTGTATGGTGAGCTAACCACTATATGCTGTGTGGAAAAGAATATGCCTTTCTCTTGGAATGTTCCCTATTTAGACATTTTGTTGATTATGAGCTCTTGCAGTAAGTTTGGGGCATTGGACAAGTGGGGGAGGAGGAATCTTGAGCTATAGGACTGAACCTTCAAAGCACATACACAAGGGAGGGAAATGCCACATTTAAGAGTACAAACCTTTGCCCTTTTCTCGTAGTCTATAATGGTTGTTTTGAGGCATTAAAGAAGTTTTCTTATAAATTTTACCGGGGGTAGTGAAGAGCAATCCTGAGAATAAGGGATGCGGACATAGAAAGCCTAGTCTGTTCCAGGACTGTGGCGGAAGTGCTGTAAAATGAGGTGTCCATCTGCCACCCACAGACTAAGTCGGCTTCCTAAAGTGTTCGTGGGCTCACTGCGCTTCCTGATTATCAGTGTGTATGAGCTAGATAGCGACCCAGCAACTCTGATATGAGTGCGATCTGGAGGCCGGTTCTCTGTGCGCTGGGTAAGGCATAATTTACACCCAGCGGACTAGGGGGACTGAAGAATGGCTGAGTTGTTTACTTCGGAACTCACCGGAGTCTTTCTCTAGGAAAATGGGCGAAGCAACCTATTAGCGCTCACAGAATTTGGGAGCAATATCTAAGTGGAATTGTCGCTGCCATCTCACTTTCCTTGAACGAAACCGGGTGCGAGGTGGCGGGAATCCCGGTGATTAGAAGAAGCCTTCAGGAGTCCCGCTTTGTGTTTCCCACCCCTATGCTCCTGGGGCGCAGAGAAGATGGGTACATTGCGTACTACAGTTTCAGAGCTCTGCCTGATAATTGGACGTTCTCTTGTTAGATTTCCAGGCAAGAAGCCGAAGAAGCACCACACCGCCCCCTTTTTGGGCTCCTTCTCTAATCACCCGCGAGCCCAGAACCGCCTCAGGTAGTCTGAGGCCGGCCAGGGAGTCTCCACCTCCACGCTAGCGGCAGCCATTCGATGCGCTCAGGCGCCGAGGGGGTGGGGCCCATTGGCTGGGGGGCGCTGCCACTCTCGGGAGGGGGTGTGGTGGGGGTGGGGTCTCGGACCGCCGCGGGTCCAACTGCTCACTGTTTGCTGGGTAGTGGGTGAGTTTGAGCGTGAGCGGGGCTGCTGGAGACTTGAGAACAGTTCAGAACCAGCAAGCTCACACCAGAGAGGGAGAGAAAGAGAGAGAGGGAGTGAGAGAACGGGCGAGCGAGTGTGAGGGAGTGCGAGGGGACCTAGAGGAGTCAGGGAGAGAAAGCGAGGGCCAGAGGAACCACGATAGAGACGGAGTGAGCATGTCTGTCTCCGCACCTCCGGTGATCTCTGCAACTTCCAGTGGTACCGGCGTCCAGGGGGCTTTATTTCGGGCCGAACCCCTATACTCCACTCCGGGAGAGCCCCCTCGTCTCACCCCTAATATGATCAACAGTTTTATGGCCAATAACCACAGCGGCAGCGCCGGGAGTGGCGGGGTCGGTAGTGGCAGCGTTGGCAGCTGCAACACCAACACCAACGAGTGCCGGATGGTCGACATGCACGGGGTGAAGGTAGCTTCATTCCTGATGGATGGCCAGGAACTGATCTGCCTGCCGCAAGTCTTTGATCTTTTCCTCAAGCACCTGGTGGGTGGGTTGCACACGGTGTACACCAAGCTGAAGAGATTGGACATATCTCCAGTGGTGTGTACCGTTGAGCAGGTCCGGATCCTCCGCGGGCTGGGGGCCATCCAGCCTGGGGTGAACCGCTGCAAACTCATCACCAGGAAAGACTTCGAAACTTTGTTCACTGATTGCACCAATGCCAGGTGAGACACCCATTTGTTGACTCACACGCTGCTCTTGCCCCTTTGCTCTCTTTTGCATGTCTCATCCCTCTCATTCAACTTTGTCTGTAGAGAATGAGTCTTAACCAGCTTGCCTCTTCATACTTTAAGTCGGTGGGGAAAGAGGACTAGAAGGACTCATTAATTGCGGGTCCCTTCTAGTCCGTGCTCAGTGGTAGGGCTGGGGTCTAAAAAAAAAGTCCCGCACAAACTTCAGTTTGCAGTCCTCTACTGAAACTTTCCAGCCTTTCTCCCATATCTTGCATGGCTTTTTGGCTGCTTGTGTTTATTTGTTAATTTCTCTATTTGGTTTTCTTTCTGCTCTTTTGTGGCCTTACGGGTCGGGTAGTTTTTCTTCTGAACACCGACACCAGGGGCTTTCTCTGGGGGCTGGCTGAGCTGTAAACCAGGCTCCAACGCTGGCAACCCAGAAAACAGCATTTGGGGAATGCAGGGGGCTGGAAGTCTAGAATCCATCCCAGAGGGTGATTCAATCCCCATCCTGTAAGTTTGTTGCGAGAGTGTGTGGAATGCATACTGCTGTTTGTTGTTGGTAGTGATTGTGTGTGCGCGCAAGTGTGTGTAAGGAGGAGTGCTCATGCCTGCTGCGCAAAGCTCCCTGGTACACGATACAGGAAAGTAGATTAGTCTTGTTTCTTTTTTTAAAAAAAGACCGCAGATGTCACTTTCCTGGGATCGTCTCTTTTGGGTAATCTACAGAAGGTAATGTGGGGCATGAAACGCTGGGGCTGGGGCTGGGTTGGGGGTTGGTATAGAAGTTGGTAGGTTTTCTAGAGAAGATGCTCTCAGCTCTTCCCCCCCCACCAGGCAAACAGTTGGAAGGATCCCATTCCCTCAAAGAGAGGATTCCTTAAATGATGATGGCCAGCTTCCCTGGTTGTAAGTGTGCCTCCTTCATATCACAGTTCAGAAGTACATTGAAGTATAAATGTCCATTTGCACATCAGAAGCAAATTGTGTTCAATGGTTTGAGTAAAAAGGAAAAGAAACTATATTCCAGATTATTTGATTTTTAAAAAATATCTGTGAATTAGTCTTTATTTAGTTTATTTGATCTCTAATCTGTTAATATCTACAAAAGTATATATTTGGCATTTGAGAATGGCATACAAACTAAGAAATTACCATCACCAGATTTATGGGAGCAAAGGGTTTTGTTGTAAAACGCTACTACTATTCATCATTTTGCAAAGAACTTTGGAGGTACACTGTCTCGGTGCAACTTTATATGATCATATCTCTGGGTCTATGATCTAAAACTATAACTCAGTTACCACATTTATGGTAAAATGCAAATCACTGTTTAGTTGAAAGTGTACTGACAACTTGTAGACAAACTGTTGCTTACTGTTACAATAAGATAATGCTACAGAACTTACAATGGAACATTTTCTTTTTTCCTTTAAGAAGTGTTCTTCTGGATTCAAGCAATTGAACAGAAACCTGTTCATGTGAGAACTCCTACCTAATGCATATTTAGGGCTTACAAACCTAGTTCATTAGATCAGCTTTTCTTAAGAAAGATAGATGACCTTAAAACACAAAGATAAAGGCTTCCTCCAATAAAACAAGCAATTATGGGTTGTAAGAGTAGAAAGAAAATTTTACTTTGACTACAAAGCATTTTACTAATATATGAATTCAAAAGATTACAAGGAACATCATATAGGGGCCATCTAATTCATATGTTACCTTTCAAAAACACTTGTATTTAAATAATTACAGACATGAAAACCTATCCACTTACCTCTCTCTCCCTCACCTCTCTACTTTCCTATCCTTTCCTCTCCTCCCTTCTTATAAACTTCCATTCTTAAAGTGAATAATTATTACATATAGGAAGTTCTTCCTTCCATGATAATTAATTTATATGTTCTTGAACAAAATCTATGTATTTTAAAAGTAAATAGATTAATATTTTATTGTCATTTTTGATGCTTTCCTTTTTAAATAGAAACTTTTCTTTAATTTTTATAGAGCTTCTTGCTGAAAGGGAAAGTGATCAATTTCTATATACTCAGAGACAGGTAGTCTTATTCTATTTTTGTTATATTATACCTTTATTATTTTTTAATTCAATTAAGTTTTATTTGCTTCTTATCATAGCATTTGAGTTTCTAACTTTTTTAGCTTGAATTGCTTTTGTGTATGTATCTGTCTAAAGGTGAGAGAGACATATTAAATACAGAGAAAGAAATATATTTGTGATATGATGAATGTGCTTTCTATTGCATTTTCTTTTTTTATAGGTCTTTTATTTATTAGATTTATTTTCTATAACTGTTACAAGCATTGCAATATAGAATTGTTAAAAATTGTGAAATATATTCTATGTATGCAATTCATAAATGAAGATGAGGAAAATTACTAGAAACACACCTACATTGCAATTTTTAGGTAGGGAAAAACCCAATTTCTAGAAAAATCTAATAGTAAAATAACATTACCAAGTTTTGTTGTGCAAATACCCTCATAATCAATCATGTTGTTAAAAACTACTAGATATAATGATGGTTATGAAAGATGCTTTTTGAATTTTGGTAACATTTACAGACTATGTACTTTAAATTATTCATCAATCAGAATTTAAAAATTAAATTTGAAATTAATATTTAGATCAACATTATTTCTATGATTTTAAAATTCAGTGAAAAATGAGGGATCTAAATGAGAAGGAGGTACAAGAGAGACAACATGAGGCAGATAAGACACAAGCAGTAAGAGAGAAGAAATGTAGGAAAAGAGCAGAATGATGACATGAGAAGGAGAGAAAGATGGAGAAAATCTTATAGAGTTGTCTAAAGAAAATGAATAATGTGCTAATGGAAACCTGGCTAAAGAGTATTGTCCTTCAGGACTCATGACTTCTTACAGCTTCTAGCTAAAGGTGAAGGGGAGAGCAGTGCCTTGAAAAATTATGTATTAGATTGAATGGAAACTCTCACATTATATTCTTATTTTAAAAGAAGAGATTCGTTTTCATCTCCAATGTATAAATTTTCATAATATATTATTGAATGGAAGGACTATTTGTATTGGTGTCATTGGAAATTTTCTTTTCCTGCATTATTCCCCATCTGTCAAATGTGTGGGGAAGAGTACATGTCCTGATTTAGTGTATTTTAATTTGGAATGCCTTATGCTATCCCAGGACACATAAAATGGACCATTTTCACATTTGTCCTTTTCAGAGACTTTAACACATTGCCACTAAGTCGCATCTTGATTTGGTTCAGTGCACATTTTATCAATGTGCTTTGAAGATAAATGAATGAATACACATCATTTTTTGATAGTGTGAAAGTCACAACAGCATCTGAAACAGTACCTTATATTAACTGTTTTGTTTTAGTCAATTACTGAAATATTCAAAGTTTTTTTTTTTCTAGAAAAGAAGTTGGGAAATAATATCTGCTTCAAAAACTAGGGAATTATAAGACTAAAACTCTTGACCATACATTGTTCTATTAAGTGAAGCTTTACATCGCTGGAATTTCAAAGGGCTATACGGTATTCTCCCTTCATGATCTTTAACTTTAAAAAAATAATTATAGGGAAATTATTTTGAGAATTATTAAGAAAATGGTGAATTTTCTTAAACCAAATGAAAAATTATTATATGGTTTTAGATTTTGTTTTTGAAGATAAAGCACTATGGGTTTCTCTTCATTTATTATACAAGAAAACTTGGAGTTTTTCAATACCAGAGAAAAGAGGCAGATTCAGAAAGCAAACGCCTAAAATTCTCACTATTATGCAGTGAATTTTACTACTAAATTGTCCTAAGTTTAGTAGCAGTAAAATACAAAATTGGTTTCACTAAATTGGGAATCATCCACCACATTTTAGTGTTATTTTTTAAAATCTACCTATCTATATGAAAGTAACATTCTTGGATTTCATGATTGGCATTTAATTTTGTTTGAGGAGCAACTGATTGAATGTTATTCAGTCACTTAGAGTTAAATGGATGCTTGAAGAAACAAGAATGTATAATTAAGAAGAGACTTTAATAATATATTTGGGGATATGCTTCAACATATATTTAAATGTATAAAATTCACTTTTTAAAATTAAAATTCAAAATAGTTCAATTATAGTTCATTTTGACAGTGTGTAAACAGAACATAAATGTGGCTTGATATTAGACTAACTTTATGAGAAGAATAACCATGTTTACAACATTTTAAAACTAGTTTCCAATACTAGAAATATGATTATTGTAAGCAGTCGATGAGTTTGGCTTTGTATTCACACTTGATGAGTACTTTGTAGTTCATGATCCATACAGAATAATGTAATTTATTTTGAAAACTGATGTTTGGCATTTACAGTAAAGTTAAGCAACATACAATTATTAAAGAACTTGTATCACTTCCCTGGGCTGATATATATTTTCAGAAATGATAAAAAGGTTCTAGAAATGAATCCAGGCAGTTAATACAGATATTTTATTTCAAAGGATGACGATGAGATAGTCATATTGTCCATTACAAGCAGTCACATAGTCAACAATGCTGTGTCTTTTATAAGAAGAATGGTATCAGGATTACAATTAAAGTAATCTAGTCATATGCTAATGTACAGAACTTTTGTGTGTATATTCATTTTAAATCTATATTTCTGCATAACCAATAATTTTTGTGTTTATGTAAATACTTTAACTTGTATTCATATTTGTCTTAAACACTCATTTATTGGGTGATGGATACTATATTAAAGAAATGATCCATGACATGATAGAGTATATCTTTGAATTTTTATGTACATTACCCTCAATGTCTAGTACATGAACACCAATAAATAATTAGGATGTGATCGTCTTCAGACAATATTGTTTTATGTGGCTTTATACAGGAATTCCTAATACTTGTAGAAGATATCAAACCTGAATTATTTTATACTTTGTTAAGTGACATTATTTTGTCTTAATGAAATACTTAGTTGTTTGTAAAATGCTT